AACGAGTAGGGTCGTCTGTCTCCAATCTCGTGGGTTTTCTCTGAGTCCTCCGGATCATTCCCACTACTAAAGGCCCCTACTTGCAAGCAATTTATTGAAATAAAATTGAACTGAACATTTTTCTCCTAAACCAAATGATGAAGAATGGAAATTTGAATCTTTCTGATCTGGCTAGCATAGCAACCCTTAATGATGAACAGGAAATGAGAGTAAATATCTCAGATTAAAAGCAGCAGCCATTGTGGAAGTTCAGGAAGGAAACCTTTCGCGCCAATTCTGCTATGAAACAAGGAATGATCGAAACAATCGCTTGTGTAGTGGGAAATACAAGCGCGATTGCTCGCGGCGAAAAAATTCGCCTAGTGGAAAACAAGCTTTAGACTCAGACTACAGAAACGTTTAAATCAGGGTGTCAAACTCATTTCGATTCATGGGTGTCAAACTCATTTCGATTCAAGGGCCACATCAACTAAAATTTTACAGCAAGTGGGCCGGAAATATACAAAAATATCAAGTTAATTTTTTTTAATTGATTTATTTGACTAAAATCTTTACATTTTACAATTTTTAGACTGGTTTTCAAATTGCCATGATATAATATTGAACACAACGTTATTTTGTATTACATACAACCCTAGATATCTATGACATACAGTACAGAAGTCAGAGTCTTACTGAAACCGGAAAACAATAATAAATGATTTCCCCCGCTTTTTTCTAAAAATTATCGACATGTCAGTTTGTTGAAACTATTGCCACGGGCCTAATTAAAACCCTTGGCGGGCCGGATCTGGCCGCGGGCCGCATGTTTGACGTCCCTGGTCTAAATAGAAATGAATTAAAATGGGGTTTGCACTGAATGGAAAGTGATCGAAAAATCAAAAGAAACCAAGGAGGGAGAAGAGAGTAATGAAATAAAGGATAATACAAAAAGCACACACATCAAGAGAGAGAGAAATGGGGTTTAACGTCCACTCGACACAAACTAGGTCATTTCGGGACTAACACATGGTTCAATTTTATTTCACTAATTCGCTTACGCGTAGGGGTCTTTAGCAGTGGGAGGAAACCGGAAGAAACCCACGAGGTTGGACAGGCGACCTTACTCTTTGTCACGTACAACCGGGGAATCGAAACCCCGCCAGTTGCCTCAATGACATGCCGTATGATACAGTGTGCACCTGCTAACCATTCGGCCATCCAACCCGTCACATCAAGAGATCAAGAAAATATAAACAAAAATAAAACCAGCAAGATATTAAAGTTTGAATAGAATAAAGAAAAGTAAATAAGAATACGAATTTTTTAATTACTAAAAGTGCAAAGGACGCCCCCTTTATAGCGTACACTATTATTACAGCCAGAAGCCTTGACACGTGTGTTGATTTTTCACCATCAGAAAATAATTTTTCATAATAGCTTCTATAATGGTTCCCTCCCCTTTCTTTCATCGCCTTCAATCATTACGCTCTTCATCACTCCAACATATTTTACTTGGAGGTGACGTGAATTACTCGCGTCAAGATTAAGACAGATCTCGCCTTTAAGAGCTTGGCAACGGATCAAGAATACACATTGCTGCAACTTTATGCATTCAAGAAATACCTAGACTTGTGTTTTTTATCCTTCTTCTTTTGTTTCGCTGCTCGCTGATTTACAGCACAGATAATCAGTACAAGCTGGCGAAGTTATTTTATTTCTAATGGCCGTATTGTTATGGTGTAGAAAACTTTATATTGCAAAGACTAGATATTTGGATACTGTTGTGTCTCAAAATATTGTATTATCATTCTTATAATATGTCCCAGAATACGATATTATATCATGCTTATGTCTCAAAATACAATATTATTATTCTTATAATATGCCCTAGAATACGATATTATCATTCTTATTACCATCCTTATGTCTCAAAATACGATATTACCATTCTCGGTTTTCCGTCCTGCACCACTGACAAGGGGAACCACGTCGGAAAACCCGATGGACTTTCTCGGCCTATCGAGGGAACGACCACCGGTCTCCCGGCTGGTAGCGAGCCAGCGTCTTACCCACTTCGCCATCGTGGCTCCGGAATGTCAAAGATAGCCTGATAGTGATGTGACCATCAACTTTTATAGGCAGATGGGTTGTAAACAAACTGAAGTTTTTCCCATGAGATTATTCGTCATCTGTCTTAACGAGCAATCTATGTTTATAAATTAATCTAGCCATCTGTAGTACTAGGATAAACAGTTCGCTTTATATAAAATAAAATGGTTCTGGATATTGGTAATAAATCTTAACTTTTAACATATATTTTTCCATTTATTTATCGTTGACACAAGATGGGTTAAACGGATATAGGAGTTCAATGGAAATTCCGCGATCATTAGTCACCAGGACACAGTAAATGGTTTGGTATCTCCGTGTCGACCATCATTGAATAATCTATTCAGACCGAAGTTCGTCTTTTAAGGTTTACGTATTTGGTAGGCGGATGTCTTGCAGCTCCTAGTTCTACTTTACTGTATGTGGTGTGATGTTGCACAAAATTTAGACATAGTTTAATTTTGATAAACAACATAAGAATGTCCTTTGTCCAAATTATGGAGACATTTCAAATGTAATCTTCGCAGGATTGAATGTATTATATACAGGATTGAATGAAATGGTATATTTTCACATAATGTTGTGTTACCTAACACATTCAGTACACAATCTGATTCAAACACAGGTCCTATTTCGTTTCGTTTTTTATAGTTCAAAATGTCGTTTTACTTGTCTTTACTACACTAGGATCTGGAAGAATTCTTATCATTGACGTGTTCTGAATGGTGTGAGAAATTAGCCAATGAAACGGTCTGTTACGGTGAGCTTTAGGCGTGTTTTGCACGGAACTGTGGGTAATCAAATGTCTGACGTCATAGGGTCAAAAGCCACTCGTATGACCTCTGACGCGACCTATCGCTACAAACGGTCAGATCTTCATGTAGTGTAGGCCATCGAAAGTAAAAAAAAAGGAAACGAAATATAGATCTGTATTTTAATCAGATCGATTCAGTATACTAACTTCTTTCAGCAAATATTTATGATTTTATACAGTATTGCCAAGTACTGATACCATCAAATGTTGACCGTCCACTACGTTAAACCTATTCGATATTCCATAAATAGAGGATATTTGTCGTTTTAGAGTGAATAACATATTTTATTTCATCGAGAAGCAAGAAAACTTATATTTTCACGAATGCGAAGCATGAATGAAAATATAAACGTTTTCTTGCTTAGAGATGAAATAAAATATGTTATTCACTCTAAAACGACAAATTTTCTATTTATTTCATGATTTTACAATCATTTTAGGTAAAAACAATTAGCCAGTGGAATAACACTTTTATTTCACTGATAAAACGCGGTATTCCACTACTGATCATAAAATAAAAACCTGTATTTTTTGTAAATGTATTATTGAACACATTTGTGCTATAAACAATTAAGCTAGAGACAATAGATTCATTCATATTTTGTGGTATCGTGAGTCAACTTCATTAAAATCGTTTCTACGTTTCTATTTTAGCCTCCAAAACAACCTGGATAATTATACGTGGAGATCTTTATCTCAACCTCGTGCACATTATTTGATGCCCAGCTGTGATACTGTTTTTTCGAAAAAAATAAATACAAGTTCCAGTCAGTTGTTCATAACGAAATGTAATGAAATGGGGTTTAACGTCCTACTGTTCTGCTCCTATACTGGGTTAATGAAGACGGGTATACGCCATACAGTGTGCTATGAGGGCCAATTTGCTCGGGCAGCGGAACTATGGCCTTATCTTATATCGAATTTCAACTGCCAAGGGATCCTTTACAAAGTATACACGGGATATTGGTTTTTCGTCATATCCGAATGACTAGACAACTGTCCTTGTCAGGCCCTCCGTCCAGCAAGTTGTTCATAACATACACGAGACAGTCACACAATGAAGAAAGAACTAGGTACATGTATTTGATCGACTTCTTCCTATGTTAAAGATGCCTTTCCACGAACAAACTATGTGATTTGATAATATACTTGGATTAAAAACATATTCAAACTAATTCATCTATCACAATTTGGCCTCAAATCTACTCTCAAAACATTTTAATCACCAGGGAATATATCGAGTTGTACAAATCTATTTTAAGCAACATTTCTTGCCACGGGACTTGATTTAGGGGGGGGGGGTCCATTTCCGGCTTTTATTTGTTATTAATCGCTTTCCATTTACCAAAAATATATCGAATTCTAAGTAAATTCTTGAATTATCCTCTGCCAACTTCCTTTTCCACCGTTTAATCACAGGGCCTGCCTACATTAAGTTGCAGCTAGCTATTTGATCAGCACATACGAGGTGCTTCTTACGTCATTCGAAATGACAACAAGTCAACAGTTTGTTAGTTAGTGATATCCTTACATTTTGTCCTGTGCTCGACCCATGGGTGCTTACAGGGAATCCAATATTTTTCTACTAAGATTGAGTATTAATACTTTCCATATAATACCAAAGTGGTCATTATATACTTTCATTGGAAATAACAACTTTATAAATACTTTCGTGGGAATGCATCTTTTTAAACAATTCTGTCCACCATGTCCGAACGTCTCTATACTTTGAACTGAAACATCCGGAAACATGTTTGAACATTTTGTCGTTTTATTGACGTTCAGGGTGGGGGTCGGAGGTGGTCGAATAGTTAGCGCGTGCGCGATGTATCATAAGGAATGTCGTCGAATCGTCAACTGGCGTGGTTTCGATTTCCCGGTTGTACGCGACAAGGAGTAAGGTCGACTGTCTAACCTTGTGGGTACTCCGGTTTCCTCCCACTGGTAAAGACCCCTACGCGCAAGCGAATTATTGAAATAAAATTGAACCATATGTTAGTCCCGATATGACCTGGTTTGTGTCGAGTTGACAATATGAGATTGTTTTGGTAAATCGAATTCAGTTTAAAGATGACTTTTCTGCTTTTTGTTTCAGGTTGTTTGGCGACAAGTTGAAAGGGAAAAGTTTTTAACAATTGGAACACAGACTTGGGTACAGAGTGATAATTTTGTTGTGCAACACGAGGAGAAATTGGACATGGACATCACCGTGTGGAATCTTTATATCAAACGAGTCACACAAGATTTAGCTGGGGAGTATGAATGTCAAACTACTGCTATTGCAGGTCATTCTAGACGAGTCTACTTACAGGTTGTTGGTAAGCGTGTTTTGTTTTTTTTATTAAAGACATTTCCATACACATACATCAGGAAACTTAATCCATTTTGGCCGACAACATTGATTGGAAGACAGAACCCACAACAACGAATGACAAGATAACTTTATTATATGCATTTTCTAATTCTCAGTATGCTAGAGTTTCATTTTCAAGGTATGAAAGGGGATTGGATGGCCGAATGGTTAGCACGTGCGCAGTGTATCATGAGGTCTGTCATTGAGTCAACTGGCGTGGTTTCAATTTCCCGGTTGTATGCGACAAGGAGTAAGGTCGACTGTCTAACCTTGTGGGTACTCCGGTTTCCTCCCACTGGTAAAGACCCTACGCGCAAGCGAATTATTGAAATAAAAACAAAATAAACCATATGTTAGTCCCGAAATGGCCTAGTGTGTGTCAAGTGGACGTTAAACCCCATCATCTCTCTCTCTATCTCTCTCTTCAAGGTACGATGTGTCTATATAAACTGCTTGGAAAATCAGTATAATTGGCCAACCCGATCCCAACTGCGATATCGCCCTCGATTAAAGCAGACGTTAAGCTCCGAGAACTAACGAACTCGTTGCACTTTGTTTCCGATATCATCCAAGGTGAAACCGGACGTTAAGCCCCCGGTCTCAACAAACCTATTGTACCGTGGACCAATTTAGTTCCATGGTTGAGTTAATGGATTCGAACATCCCAAATCGAAATTACTTGGAAGGCATGTGGACAAAATGCTATATTTTACCACCCCTAGACGAACCACTGACGTAAAGCATTAAATAAGTCTCTTTTTTTTAAAAATAAACTTCATCCACCTACCTCTTATTTTCTTTCGAAACAACGCCAGGACAATTTACTCCCCCCGTATTTCATCTAGTTCGTCCTCCATCGTGTCAGCACCAGTGAATTATATTGATATTTCCTTAAACATACATTATGACGTCACATTAATAATGATGTCATTGTAATTTAAACATACATTATGACGTCACATTAATAATGATGTCATTGTTATGCAAGTGCTACATCTGCCTATTGGAGGTCTTTGGTTAGGCCTGAAATGTTATCTAAATGATTAATTAGACATTAATTAACTTATCCAGACCATAATCAAACCTCGATGTCATCGCTAGTCTGCGATATTTACTGGATTTAGGATCCGATTTGCTGCTCAACTTCCATTCATGATTAAATCATGAAATGGATAATCGAGACTATGTTTTTATCGTACCGACTTTAGTAATGATGATCGAGGCTAGGCCGAAAATTCAATCGCGAAATTCTCGGTTCAGATTGGATCAATTTGACTGAAATTTTCAGCAAATTCCATTTACATTATCTAGCTTTTAACTATTATAGCGAGAACTGGCAGCTCTTTTATCTAATCTCCCATAATGTATCTTTAATACATTTCTTTTCTTTGTTTTGTGGTTTCAGGTTCACCGATAACGGAACCGGGTAAGTAATGATAACTTCTTTGGGAGCCACGGTGGCTGAATGGGTAGGACGCTGGTTCGCTAGCCAGGTGGTCGTGTGTTCATCGGGATTTCCCGAAGTGGTTTCCCCTTGTCAGTGGTGCAGGATGGAAGGCCTGACAAGGGCAGCTGTCTAGTCGTTCGGATGGGACGAAAAGGCTTGGGTCCAGTGTATACATTGGCGTGAACGAAAAAGATCCCTTGGCAGTTGGAATTCGATTTACGAGTAGGCCATGGCGCCGCTGCCCAGGAAAAATTTTCCTCATAGCACACTGTATGGCGTATGCCCGTCTTCATTAGCCCAGTTGGCACAGAACAGTAGGACGTTAAACCCCATTTCATTTGATTTAATTTTTGATAAGTTCGTTACCCATGGGAAGTTAAATCTAGAGATCAGTATTGCTCCGAATATATCAAATATACAAATTCCCTAGACTCTCTTTTACTCACATAACCTTTCTTTACTGCTTCAAAGAGACAAATTAGTCAGGAAGGAAGTGTGAACATGAAACAGATTCACTCTTTTATACCCACGTTAAACCCAGAGATAACGAAAGCTGTTTCATTTTTTAACTTTGGTGCTTTGTGGTGCTTCCGCGGAACAAATTTAGAACTTAATCCTCAACTGCATGGGAGGTTGGATGACCGAATGGTTAGCACGTTCGCGCTGTATCATAAGGCCTTTCGTTGAGTCAACTGCCGCAGTTTGAATCCCCGGTTGTGCGTGACAAGGAGTAACCTCGTGGGTCTTCTTCTTCGGGTCCTCCGGTTTCCTCCCATTGCTAAAGACATCTACGCGCATGCGAATTATTGAAATAAAATTAAACCATGTTAGTCCCGAAATGACCTAGTTTGTGTCGAGTGGACGTTAAAACCCATCTATCTCTCTCTCCCCTTAACTGCATACTTGGCAACCAGCAAAGGTCCACGTATTGTGAGTGGGTTTTCTTTCAGTTGACTAGAGTAGTAGAATTGGTGAACGATTAGATTGGAAAACCCAAAGACTTGGACAGAAAATCTGTAATTTTGTGCCACATACAACGAAATGAAATGAAATGGGGTTTAAAGTCCAACTGTTCTGCTCCCAACTGGACTAAATGAAGACGGGCATACGCCATACGGTGTGCTATGAGGGCAATTTTGCCGGACAGCGGCACTACGGCCTACTCTTATATTGAAGTTCACCTGTCAAGGGGTCTTTTACGTGCACGCCAATGTGCACTCGGGACCTCGGTTTTTCGTTCCATCCGAACGACTAGACAGCTGTCCTTGTCAGGACCCCCGTTCTGCATCACTTAACAAGGAGGAACCACGCCGGAAAATCTGGAAGAACTTTCTCGGTCAATGCAGGGATCGAACACCCGACCTTCAGGGCGACCTTCGGTTGGACGGATTTTCGTACTATAGTTCAACCTGTGGTCGTGACCAGCCATACCATACGATAGAGCATGGTCGGGATAGTTCACACTGTAGTCGCAACAATAGTCTACATCCGAAAGTCGCCCAGACTACCGAGCCAGCGTCTTACCCACTCAGCCCCCCCCCCCCCCTCACATACAATGAATAAGGATACAAATTAAATTGAAGCGGTGATTTCAGTATCTGGCCAGTTGTTTTCCTAATAGCTATATCGTATCTAAACTTGAAAAACTCTTGATCACAGTGCATGTTGTGTGACATTGAGAGATTCTGGCCCCAAGTTCACAAAACATTCTCAGACTTAAGTTAAGAATTTACTCAAAATTGTTCGCCTTATTTTAACTAAAACATAGCCCTTTATAAAACCTTTGTTGTTTTAATGTATCAAATACATCAATAAGAAACTATGTGCAAATTTTTGTGCTTCTGGATCAAAGATATTTCTCATAAATAGTGAAAGAAAGTTGGGTAAATTCTTAACTTAAGTCTGGGAATGCTTTGTGAATTCGGGGCCCGGATTTTCCTGCAATTTGCCAGTATATTTCTGGTTTTAAAGACGTACGTATGCCAGGTTCCCACTGTCGTGTGATAAGTTACGATAGGATTGTACCTAATAATGCCCGTCTTCATTAGCCCTGTTGGCGCAGAACAGTAGGACGTTAAACCCCATTTCATTACATTTCGTTATGAACAACTGACTGGAACTTGTATTTATTTTTTTCGAAAAAAAGTATCACGATCTGGTACGTGCAGATACGTTTGGAAACGATCAACACGATTGCTACGACTGGCCTCAATGATAAGACCTGATAGGATTACCCCACAATTAAAACCAATTTCAATCATAGCTCGAATCGTGATAGTGGCAACCCTGGCATTATACGTATTTAAAACCAACCCATTACAATCGTATTCGTCTAATATTCTCGCGACGGAACATATTTCCGGGTGACATAAGTAAGCAGATCCATTTAAACCCAATTCAGTCGAATTTAGAAAGATGGTCGAAGAGGCCCTGCAAAAGGTCCCCCCACCCCCCGTGACCATAGAAACAATTGATAGCCTATACATTGTCCGTCAATTTAAGAACACTTCCCACACCCCTCGTTGCTCTGGCCTAGTTACGGCGCTGTGATCGAATGATGTATTTCAATAATATACTAATGTCCAAAAGAAAGTATACACACTAAAAATATGACTTAGTTTTGTTTAAATCAAAAAAAAATGTGATAAAACTACACTGATCGCGTGCGTCCAAACTCAATATTTCTAAGCAAATAAAAGGCAAAACAAATGGACATTGTACCCAAATACCGTATACAATGGAAAAACGACTTTGTTTGAAGCAGGACAAAATGCACAGTGTATATTAGCTATAAACCATGGTTTGACATCCCCCGATCTAGCGTTTGTACCACTAATTATCAGTTTACTGTGGACGTTTTCCCTTTTTATTCTAGTAGCTCAGTTCATCCATTTTCATCGCTAATTTGTGTTGTTCCGCGAGGACAGACATCCAGACGTATAATTTTAGGTTAATAAGTTAATTCTCTAGGCGATGCTGTGTTTTGTCTTGCTAATTAAATCTGCTTCACAAACGGAGCACTACATCGATTTGCTTTGTTTCTTGGTGAAATACGGTTGAACAAAATCAGAAATTCCTTTAACGCGTGCATTCCTTATTATTTAAAGCCATGACAGTAATTTCAATTGATGGTGGTAGTCTGCATGTAGAAACATCTGCTCATGGGGATGAGAGACCTTTTCTGAAAGGATACAACAGTATTTTTAGCTGTGTGAACTCATCAAATAACTTTACATACAATCTGATTCAAATACAGATCTATATTTCGTTTCGTTTTTTTTTCAATCTGATTCAAACACAGATAATATTTCGTTTCGATTTTATAGTTCAAAATTTCGTTTTACTTGTCTTTACTACACTAGGATCTGGAAGAGTTGTTATTTAACTCGTGTCCTGCTTGAAATGAGGGGTCAGCCAATCAAATGGTCCGTCGAATCGAGCGTTTGACCCTTTTTGCGCGGAACTGTGGGTAGACATTAGCGGCAATAGAAATCAAAACAAAGCAAAAGTAGATAAAAAATACATGGCGGTCGCTTATTGGTTACTCGAATGACTGACGTAATCGGGTCAAATGTCGCTTGCTTGGTACCTGACGTCATAGAACGTGAACTTCCACTATAACTTGTTAGATCTACCTGTAGTGTAGGCCATCGAAATTATAAAAAACGAAACGAAATATAGATCTATATTTTAATTAGATTGGGTTTTTTTATACTTCCGATGGCCTACACTACATGAAGATCTGACGGTTGTAGTGGAAGGACCCGTCAGGTCATACCAGCGGCTTTCGACCCCATGACGTCAGGCATTGTTTAGCGTTGACGTTTCTAGTGGTTTATCCCGTTCCGTGCATCCCACGCCACGAAGTGGCCGCAACAGACGGTTTCATTGGCTAATCCCTCACATCACCCAGAACACAGGTTATATAACAACTTTTCCGGATCCTAGTGTAGTAAAGACAAATAAAACGAAATTTTGAACCATAAAAAACGAAACGAAATAGGATCTGTGTTTTAATCCGATTGCTTTAGGGTGGAATTATGAACTTTATATTGTGGCTTATATATATAATAATATCTTTCTCCTGAAAAGTCCTCGCCATGACGAAAATGAAACCCTGAGTGAAAGACATGACCTTGATTCTTACATTCGTGTGCATTCCTTCACCTTTTGTTTCTGCCATTTGGGTTTATCTTGTCTCAGCTTAGCGACTGATTCTAGCTTTCTCCTATACAAAAAGATGAATCTTCTCGTTGTACGAAATAATTATGTTATTTCTAAACAATATCTATAGAACGGGAGATAACTCTGAATTATTGTCTCGAATGAGACGGACACAGATCACTAAAGATTTCCCCATTGATTCCAATGTTAATTCTCGTATCTTAGACCGGCTCTAACTTTTTCCCAAATTTTCGTTGGGTAGAACGCTTTCTACCACAGATGGAGCAACATGTGGCAACCACTTGCCCAAAAGCACGTATGAGGTTCTTCATGAAAAACTTGAGATACACAAGCTGGAAGTAGAGACAAGTAAACATGCAATTTCAGGCCCTACATTTCAACCTAACCAACCTCTCAACTCTTGTATCCTTCCGCATCAAAATTATGAATATTCACCAAAACCTGGCAGAAAATGTATTTTCAAACCCTTTTCCTCGATTCTACACCAAAAAGTCAACAAAAATCGCCATGCAAAAGGGGGAAAAAGGAAAAGGGAGAGGAAGACTAAAAATAGCTTTGGCCCTTTGGCGTAGGAATATTTGGTGATCTGTGTCCAGACTAGTCTCGCCCCTGTTAAATCCATGACAACAACGAGTCACGGTCCAAGATGTCGCCACCATCTGATAACAATAGTGAAGGGAGTTGAGCGTTTCGATTTAAGGTGTTTAGTGTTGCCTCGAATGAGACTAGTCTCGCCCCCGTTTAAATCCTTGACTTTTATTAGCCTATCACAACAACAAGTTGCAG